AACAATGAATGTGACCCCATTCCTTTTATATCTGTCATTCCCAGTACAGTAAACCCCATATTTGTCAGAATTAAAATGGTCAATATCAGTCCATGTCAGCTCGCTAACTCCAGGATATTGATTTTTACCCATTCCATTTCATTTTTGACAACTTCCCATTTTCCTAGATTTACGTTTCATACATTCTACTTCCTATTATTAATGGATGTTTGTAGCTGTTTCTCCGCATTTTGAGTTGTATCTCATCAACAAATGAGGGTCCCAAAAGCTTTATTCCATTCATGTCATCATGGTCAATTCTACTTTGAGGAAGCAACTCTTCCCCAGTCATTTTTTGAGTGCCTTCCAACTTGAGGGGCTTACATTCTGGCACTTATGTATGATAATATTCTGGTGCTTCATAATACACATAAGATTTTCATCTTTTAGCACTATATCTGACAGTGTTCCACTGCTATTCATAAGGTTTTCAGTGACTAAACATTCAGAAGTGGTATGCCTCTCCTTATTCTGCCTTAGTCTATAAAATCCGCTGAAATCTGTGCACCATGGGTGAACCTGCTGGTATTTAAAATACTGGTAACATAGTGTCCAGCATCACAGCAACATGCAAGCCACCACAGTGCAACAAACTGACAAATGAATGGTGGAATCTTTACTATTTAATCCCATCTTAATCCTTACTCTTCAGTACACCTTAATCTGTGTTGTTTTTACAGACTGTTGAGTTGGTTCCAATCCATAGCAACTTGTATAAAGTTTCCAAGGAGTGGCTGATAAGCTTGAACCATCAACGTCACAGTTCAAACTGACTTTGCAGGCCAGCGCATTAACCTACAGCACCACACCAGGACTCCACCTTAATCTGTAGTCCTACTCTGGAGTCCGGTGTGGTGCTGTGGGCTAATGCATCAGACTGCAAAGCTGTTTGAACTGCAAGGTTGGCAGTTCAAGCTCACCAGCTGCTCCTTGGAAACCCTATACAGAATCGCTATGGTTCAGAATCGACTCAACGGCACTTTACAACAACAACCATAATTCTGCCTTATTAATAACTCTCTTCAAAAAGGGTCCGTATACCAACAGAGAGGGAAAGA